GGAGAGGAGAGGAGAGGAGAGGAGAGGAGAGGAAAGGAGAGGAGAGGAGAGGAGAGGAGAGGAGGAATGGTCTTCAGAAATCACCTCACTCATATCCTGGACCATATGCTTAACTAAGCACTTCTCATCCCAAAATAGCAAAGTAAGATGCTGTTCCCCATTTTATGGAGGGGGAAGTTGACCCACAAGTAAAGAAGCCGTTTTGGCACACTGATTTTAGTCTGCAGCCTGGTGACTTTTCCTCTAGAACTTGTCCTCCCATAATATTCACTTTATATTAGATTTTCTTCCGGCTTGATTTTCACTTGCTTCATGAAATAACAGTTGGAAGAAAGCAGTTTCTAAATCACTGCCTGGTTTTTAGGGACAGACCAAAACTCTGCCCTGAACTTCAGAAGCGCTGAAGTCCATTACGGATTTAAAGGTCTAGGGCTAAAGGTTCAGGACCCGATCTGAGCTCTGAGCCTTCTTTAACAGGCAGGCCAGGCCAAAGCCATTCCTACCGCAGGTGCCTTACCTGGTCTTGTAAGGACAAGGTGGAGAAGGCTGGGACACTCTTGGCCCACTTGATGCTCATGAACAGAAGTCTGGCTGCTGACTCGCAGACAGATTCGGTGGCCACTTCGTAGAGATACATAGGGGTACCGTTGACTTCATGTGGGTACTAATGTCAAAAAGAAAATAAAGCAACTTCATACAACGTCACCAAGGCAGCCTGGTCTTCCTCTCCCATGCAGCTGCCATTCAGTGCATCATGCTCATGCCCGATACAGAGCGTGCACTCTCTTATTCTGCAAGCAGAGGGCATTGCTTTCAGTGGGCCCACTCCAAATGCTCTCTGCTGCTCATCCATGTGGACGAACTGTGCTACAGAAACAGTTCTCTGGAGGAGGTTGAAGGGAGAATGAAATTACCACATTGGGGGAAAAAATTACCAAAGTGCAGTGTCATCCTTTACCCTGTTACACAATAGCACACCTCTGGTAGCAGAGTTAGAAGAATACAAATTTGATTAAGAATTTGTGGTTTGTAACCTGTGCTTCAGAGGCCGATTTAGCACTCCAGCCTTGCTCAGCAAAGCAGTAAGTACTGGTTTAGCCCTAACCCTTCGTCTAGCTCCCTTACTGCAACAGGCTGTAAGCAGATGCATAGAGCTAAGCGTAACTACCTAAGGGGCGTGTAGGATTGGAATGGAGTTGCGTTTTCAAGCACGTGCTACGTTTTCTTGCAAAATAATTTCTGATTCAGTATTTTCCAAAATTATAATATAAAACTATATGTTATGATCGTGTTTGTGATGGATTCTGCCAAGCTACCAACTCTGAAAATGCAGAACTATTTAAGTTGTCTCTTCCATGATTTTCTAGGTGCTGTAAATATGCAAAATGCCACTGCAAATGGGTTAAAGAAAAACATCACCTTATGGCTAATTCCTGTGCAGTTGAGGCCACGAAAACATCACCTTATGGCTAATTCCTGTGCAGTTGAGGCCACGAAAACATCACCTTATGGCTAATTCCTGTGCAGCTGAGGCCACGGCAGTACTTCCTCTGGGCTGCTTAGGAAATGTCACAGCCAAGAAGTGCAGAGCCAGCTTAGACCCTTTTGTGCCTGTGTGGACAGGCTGCGGCTTTGGTCAGTACAGATAGTACTTTCTGGACTACATCACTATGGAGATGGGCATTTTGATGAAGAAAACTCAGTGATTGCAGCGCATCCTCATGAAACAAGGTTTAAAATTGACTTGTGGATGGGCTCCAGGCAGGAGGAGCACCTCTGTAACCGTGAGGGTGTAAGGATGTAGGAGAGACAGGGTTTGTGCAGAGCAGGTTATCAGTCGGTCCTTCTGCATACCTCTTCCGCAGAGGGCCTCTTGCCCCTTGCACCTTGTATCTTCAGAGATTTTAGGGTCATAACAAAAGAGTCCCCACCACAACCCGCAAGGCCTCAAGCCTTGCTCTTTGCCACATCTATCCCAGAGGCAGGAAGGAGCTGGCGGGTTGCAGGCACCCCAGCAGCGGGGTCTGCAGGCCAGGCAGGGGCCAGGGCGATGGCTGACCTTTGGGGTGGGTTGCGCCAGGCCCACCAGAGCTTGCCTCTCAGGGGTGCCGGCGACGGTGGCCAGCTCCAGGCCGTGGGGCTCCAGCTGGGAGACGGCGGTGAAGAAGGCGGGCGCCGGCAGGGCTGCAGCGGGGAAGTGCGGGGCGCCGCCACTCTCCTCCTTGTGCCCGCGGGAGTAGAGG